CTACGGATTTTTCTCAGGTCTTGATCGGACACCTCGGCAAATTGTGCGGGTCCTGCAGGTTGCTGAGCATTGTGCGCTTTGGTTGAGGCTCATCCGGCTCGTGCAAGATCTCCTTCAACTTTTCGGAGGAGCTCATTCACATCACCAATATCGTTCAACAAAGGGGCTTCTTTTCTCCCAGTTCCAGATCAAATGTTGGAGCGCCATGATGACAGTTGTGGTTGCAAACAGTCGCTCTTCTGCTTTAGACTTTTGTAGTTATTTTATTAGTAACCAATGAAAGACCATGAAGTAGAGAGTCAGTCCAGTGGCTACTGCCCGTCGTCACTTGCAGTGGAATCCGTTCCTGCCTGTCGTCAAGTGACAACGGGCAGTGGAATCCGTTCCTGACCGTCGTCACTTGACGACCGGCAGCGGATCCGGTTCCATCATTACTTTGAGCAGGCAGGACCGCGCTTTCCAGCCCACGCTGTTTGATCTGTCATTGGTCAACTCCAAGGCGACAATCACATGACATACGGGAAACCTTTTTTCCCTTGATTCCATGATCCATGCACGTGTGTGTGTATACACCCGTACGCCAAGCTACTGGCCATATTCGTAGTTGCCATGCACATTTGCATGACGCGAAACCTGAATCCTGTTTTCAACGAAACGATACGAGCCGAATCAAACTTTCGTTTCGCATTCGATTCGTAGCAAATGCGAAAGGTCCCTAATGTGGCGAAGCGGATACCAGTGGCTAGCCATTGGCGGACTATGCTCGGCCAATCGTCAAATTTAGCTTTTGATTATGCCACCATTATGCCAACAAATATGCTGAATTATGCTGAATTATGCTCGGTTCCACTATGTATTCACGCTGTACATAGAGGATTGAGAAACCACGCATACACACACGGCCATGCCCTAAGAATTTGTTTTGTCTAAACCGAAAGATTATGCCGACCTTACACGTTGGAATCCGTATATTATGCCGGAGCATAATTTTTGGACGAAATTCCAAGATTATGCCAAATATTTTGCCGGCATAATCCGCCAAGGGCTACCAGTGGCAATGGCGAGCCCTGACTTCGTAATTTTTTCGAAACCGAAAGATTATGCCGACCTTACACGTTGGAATCCGTATATGAGCCGAGCCAAGCTAAAAGGTGGCTTAGGCATAATTTTTGGAATTTCTTTTTTCATGCCAAAGTGATGTCTATATATCCAACTTCCATCATGGAAATTTTGGTGCCAATCTGAAATGTATATGTGCCATAATTTATCCCCCCATAAATAGGCATACATTGTGCACATGTCACAGAATGGCTGGTATCAATGCCACTAAGGATTCCAAGACCTTCCCATACTCCAAGAAAACATGGGACACCAAGTAGAGACAAAGCTTAGCAGGTGTGCAAGCAATAAAAGAAGAATGGGCACTTGTGTTCTAATGAGAAGATCCAAGAAAGAAGAAATAACAGATCTACATTACATTTTCATCATGACTCATGTCATTTTATTACGCAATACGAATTTTCATATCATTCCACATCATGTTGTTGTGACTAGATGTTTTGCTGCTTTGGGGAGCGTCGCATCTTCCCAAACCAGTCCGTCATACTCTCTCCAATCACCTATGCCAGGTTGAATTAATCCTTTCATTTAGCTCGTAGTGCTGTGCCAGAGATCTAGCTCCATTGGTGTACTGTCCTCGCACCTGCATAGGTCCAGTAGACTGCACATCGCTAACAAGCGGCACTGATTCTTTGTCCGTCCTAGTCCATGTCATTCTCCTTCCCTGCCAAGGATACTGGAAGAAGGCGCCACGGAACAATATGCTAGCAGGTAGAGTCAATGCATCGCTTCGTCGTGTGGCACTTTTTCCTTGAAACCAGGAAATTTTGGAATCCAGTACGCCACGTCATGAACACTAAATTGAAGGTAGCCGAAACAAAGTGAAACATCGCAGCAAGAGCCAACTCACCAGGTCGCTTGTCAGAATGATAGTCGGAAGGCTTGTAGACGTATCCCCATAGCTACACTCGCCACTCTAGTCGTGGCCACGATAAGAAACACAGCCAATATGAATGAGCGACTCTTCCTCGTCAAGTAGATTTTGGCTCACACGGATGCAGAATGTCATCCTGCTCACCCACACAGTCTCTAGAAGCCCCATTACGATCTCTGGCAGCACTGAGGAATCCCCACAGCGATGAAAGAGGAAACACTGCAGAAGTGTTGCTCAAACATAAAAAAACGCTTCTCTCTTCATCCGCTTGCAAACTGGAAAGCGAATATTTTCGCGATCGCGCTCAAGTAGAATTTTGCCAACTGTGACATTTTGGTGATTTTCTTGATTTGTTGGCAAACACGAAGCCACTTTTTAGCTTGGCGCGGCTCATATTATGCCGGAGCATAATTTTTTGACGAAATCCCCAGATTATGCCAAATATTATGCCGGCATAATCCGCCAAGGGCTATAACAAGGAGTCGTTGACTGGGGTATTAAAGAAAAAACATCTGCAGGCTTTCTGACAAAGCTGTATTATGCCACTATGCATAATTTTTGTCTGAACCGCAAGATTATGCCGACCTTACACGTTGGAATCCGTATATTGTGCCGGAGCATAATGTTTTGATGAAATTCCCAGATTATGCCAAATATTATGCCGGCATAATCCGCCAAGGGCTACCAGTGGCAATGGCGAGCCCTGACTTCGTCTTGACAAATCCATGGCGAAGAGGCCTACCGGCCGATCCAAAGACACCCAGGCTTTCGATAATAATGTCGTCTTGGACCCAGATGGGCACAACGTGGATTTGGATTTCCAGGGAATCAGGCACCAGTTGAGTGACGTGCACTTCCACTGACATAAGATGGAAACCGTTTCGGCAAAGTCGTGTCAGAGGGTCTCGGGAATGAAACGTGGCCTTGCAGCTCACGTTACTGTAGTCAGCTGCACGGATATCAGGTCGGGGTAGCCATGTTCAATCAGGGCCTCAGCAACTTCGAGGGTTTTCGTGTGCAGTGGAACGTGGAAAGTCCCCGTGTTCCTCTTTAGAACTTTCGAAGAGACCGAATTCCAACTGCGAATTTCACCGGACGTGGGCATTTTGGAACGCTCTAACTATCTGCTACCTAATTTTAAATTATCCAGGCCTTACCCTGCTCCAGACCGGCCTGCTGCCGGCTGGCTCCTACAAAACCTGCGAAAAACTACGGAGCTCGAAAAAAGCAAACTGCCCTGTCAGCTTCAGTACGTGGTAGTTAAAACGAAGAAAACAATCATCCCCCCGTCCACCACAATAACCGTCATCCCACATCATCCTCAGGAATAGTTGGCTTACCGGAGCACAAAAACACAAACCCCTCAGAATAATCTTTCAGCATGACCTCCATTGGTCGGAGCATGTTGAATACATAGACTTAGGTCTATACTCACCAGTGATTCTTTATCTCACATCTATCAGACATACATACTACTTCCTCCGCGTCATCGAAATTGTCGCAGTTTGACTTTTGACATAAAATGGGGTATTTACTCACCAGCACTCGTACCAGAGGCAAGGAATCGGACATAGGCGATAGTCATCAGTATAGGATGACGGCAAAGTTCTATTTTCTGTTATTGGAAGCTGGACTTTTTGAACTAGACGCAATTTCTTCGCTGATGTCGCTGCGATGGCAATTTCAACTCGCTGAGATCAGTCAGGCGTTGCAGCCTGCACATTTCTCGTGCTTATGGCCATTCAGTCGAGCCTCATCACTGTTTTACCTTAGCTGGGGTGAGAATGACTTCGTGGAACAAGTACCAGCGCTCGAAGAAACATCGAGGGGTCAGCAAACTAAATGCATGCAACGGCGATAAAATTTGTTGCTCTTGCTGAGACACTCAGTACATGATTTTACCTGCAAGAGCCGTGTACTACGGTGTAGACTCTACACGAAGTGCTAGTGATGCACGCGCAGGTGCCGTACCAGTGATGCTGAAAATGAGGGCGCGCTGGATGATAGTACACTTACCTGCATGAGCTCTGACCACACAGCTAAAATATATGGGCATGCCACGGCTAAAAAAAGTTCATTTCAAGATCAAGGTGGTTCCGCCGACGGTAATCAACCGACCTCGCAACGATCGTTTATTCTTACTAGGCTTCGTTGGTGGTGAAGTAGAAATTATCCAGAGCTAGCAGACGACAAACATAGCAGCTCTTGTCCTGTGGAGAAAGTCAAAGCGTCTGAGATGAGGCGCGACCAACTTTCAACCTTCCTTGAAATATTTCGGAACGATATTTTTGCGTCCATTGACATCAGCGACGACGAGGACTTCATCTCTGCATGAAAACTCTCAGTCCAACTGTCCTGGAACGTTACTCCAGTCTTCAGACTATCATACTGTGTAATGAGTTTTGAATGGTTTGGCTTATGGAGTTGTCAGTAACAAGTGGCAAGTCACTAGTCAAACTGCGACAATTTCGATGACGCGGAGGAAGTACCTGTATTCTCACACTTTTGCATCGCATCAAATGACCAACATTATGTTCACGCTTTAAAGTTAAACATATACTCTTCGCACATTCTCTGCGCCACAACTATGCCCAATCACATAATTATACTCTCGCTTCATACTGCTAGCAGCGTGCAATATTCGTATAATTTACGTCGCTCTCGTACTTGGCACTTGCCAACACCGCGGCCTGCTTGCTGTCTCCATTCTCCCCTGAACAAAGCCCTTCATTACCTTTTTAAAATTGCTTGCCCACCCAGCTTCACGAAATCTCTTCTCCTACTCTCTTCAAATCCCAGATGTCCCTGCTGTTGCACAACCCTGTGTGCTCCTGTAGCGACCACCTCTGCCCGTAAACTAAAGTAGTCATTAATCCCTAGGCCGTGCCCACCCAATTCTTCATCACTCGTTCTCTCCTCTCTCACACTATTATTTCTTTTTGGCCACTGACTTATTGGCCACCGGTAAGCCCTGGAATGTACGATGTGGTATAAACGGGTTACTTACTTGAAGCAATATAATCCTTTACACCACCTGAATATAAGATGTAGCCATTTGAAAAATCCGTAGGAAACTTGAGAGCGCACAAGCGAAGGTTGTGTGAAACTCCGTTGTTAAGAAGACTGTGCATGCAAAGGACACAAAATATAATGAAAAGTGCGATATAGCCGTCTGCGATCTTAACAGACAGACACGCACTACCGTTGACGACATTACTCTTGTAAACTACCGCCTGCACTCAATAGACACCCTTAACAAACAACGGTAACACTATTGTTTACGGTACTCGTACCTTGATCACCCAAATAGCGTTGAGGCTGCAGCGTAAAAACGTTATGGGGGATGATTTATCGTTGTGACCAAAGGTACGTGTTTTGGCCAAATATTGCATAGTCCGTACGAATTTCACCTTGTATCGCGTATATGATGACATAAATGGTTGTACCGTGCGAAGTAAAAGCTATTCTCGTGGCAACAGCGTACTAAAAACAGCGTGCATCTTGCTAAAAGGTCGAGCCCAAATCACGGTATTTTCCCCCTTACGATAATACCGTTACAACATAACCTTGTTAACTGGTTTGAGGGAGCATAACCTTGTTTGCTAAGGGTGTCTAATAAGTCTATTCTTCCACACATTTACGACAAAGTCAATTCTATGGTTCCTTTGCGACCCGTCGTATCCACATGCGGCTCGTCGACAAGCAATATCTCCCTACTGTTGGAGAGGAATGTCTCCAAGAGTCGAGAACCCTTGGTAGTCTTCCGTCCGACTGTGTTGTTGCTTACTGCTGTATTGTTGCATGTGATAACATTGCACGACACTGCACCAGTATTATAGTAATGTAGAGAAACAGAACATAGAAAGGTGGCGAGGAGAGCATGCCTGAGAATACCAAACCAGGGTTCTAGCCAGGCCAAAATAGTAAGGAAGGGGGGGGGGGGCTGGGCATGGGAAACAGTTACCTACAGTCCATTTCAAAACTATAGACGCGTACGTAGGCAAAAACCGTTATGCCAGCATCTATACCACATAAAATCTGTGTTCACTTTGTGCATAAATTTCTCCAAATTGGGCGTCTGTTATCCAATCGTTAAGAAACTATAATATGAGAGTAATTGTGGAGCGGACCTGAGCAATATTCCGAAAACTATTCTCAAAAAGCTCCAGCCAAATTTTAAATATTTCAAAAAACCTACGCGTCTATAGTTTTGAAATGGAGTTGATTGCCCCATCTTTCCACTTCCCAATATTGTTTTGGAAAACACGAAAAATCGAAAAATAAGTAGGGGGGCGGCAATTTTTCCCAGGGGGGGGCGCAAACAGCGGAGGGGGCACTGTGCCCCCTTACCCCCTTTGGCTAGAACCCTGCCAAAGTATGTATGTGTGAAAGTCGATCTCTCAGATTTCGCTCAAAATTTACAGGCACGTTCCTTTGGGGGTTTAAATTGACTGTGCAATCCTGCGAAAAAGTTTCAGACGAGAATAATTCTCAATTCATTCAGTCATATACCTCTGTAAGAAACACAAACCACACATTTCCATCTTTCTCCTTGATCTTGCACAGATCAGTCCCATTGCAAAGGTTTTGTTGTACTGAGGTACTCCCAATTTAACGTTCCTGTAACCTAAGGGAAGCTAAAAGGGAAAACCCAATGTCTTTCATGTTTCTCTGCAAGGATCGCTACAATGGTATTATATGAAGCACTGTTGAAATGGTGAAATTCTATGGACGACAAAGTGATTGTCATTTTTGCACACAGTTGATATGTCCCTTGGTTCATCCTTTCCGGGTCAGTTCCTCTGTCCAGGGTCGAATAGCATGAGCTGACAGGTACTCGGCCACATCCAAAATATCTATAGGCAGCTGAGCTGGGTGTCCGAAATACCTCCTGGTTGGACCACCACTGGAGAACTGCCAGCGAAAACACGGTCCATATCTGTAGATGGCCGAAGAAGTTTGCACTCCACGTCCTCTCCATCACACTCCACCTATACAGTATACACTGCTGAACACAGTCTTCCTCAACGTACTCGACGTCGCACTCATATTCCCCACACCAAAGCCCATCTGCACACGTTTTTCTCCGCTCACCAGAGAGTACTGCTTTCGCTGCCTACTGCTCGTGCTAGCGATGTTCCACATAAACGTACTCAAATTATTGACTTGAGCAAGTTGAGGGAGCAGCATAGTTCATTGATGTTTTTGCACTTGCAATCAATACTGGCATTGTCCCGGATATATGCAGCGATGTCCATTCTGGTCAATTCATCGGCCGACTCACCTCCCAAGTCAGTGTCGATGCCAATCGCTTGCCAGGTTGTCATCAGAGTAGAATTCCTCGTCACTGCAGATCGCGGGACTACCAGCATCAACTCTTTTGCGCTCGATGAAAGGGGTGCCCCCAAATGAATCGTCGCTGTAGCCATCGTCGTCTTCCTTCTGTTTCCGACCCAAATCCTCAAAACAATTCATCCTGCGCATGGAGTGCGAGGTTGTCGTCTTCTTCCGCTCCGCAGTACAGTACTACCACTAGGCTCTTCTGTCGATACATCGATGACGATCAGCTTTAGGCGACTCAGCACAACGTGAAATACAACTCAAACAAATAAACTTAATTGCAACAAAGAAAATTCATCCGGGACAGTCCAGTCGATGGAGGAGAACAACAACAGCGACTCGCGTTGCACTGCACTTCGTATTCTTTGCTGCGGAATTCAAATCGCGATTTTCTCGACTTTTTCCAAAAAAGCTGTGGTCATGTTTTAGCGCCCTCTGGCTCATGTATCCCCCCCCCCCCCCTTCGCTATCATATTATTGGGCAACGATCCCATTTGACTTTGCGAAGTAAAATAAAGAATACACACTTACATACATACATACATTCTTTCTTTCACTTCAGTTCAGTCAGGGCAGTCGATGCTCGGGTCTCCGCTCTTAGTCTTGGTTTTTCTTTGAGCTCGGATTTCTATACTACTCACAACAGGCTTTGACAACATCCAAACTCGGCTCCTGAAAGAAACTGCAAAGGAAATCTCCCCATCTCTCACTAGTCTCTACAATCTGTCCTTCAGAACCGGAGAAATACCACAGGATTGGAAAGACGCAACTATTACACCCATCCCCAAGTCGGGCAACCCCTCCCATCCTACCAACTACCGACCCATCTCCCTGCTCAGTATAATATCCAAAACACAAGAAAAAATAGTCCACTCTCGTCTGTACAGTCACATAGCACCGCACTTACTCTCCAACCAATCCAGCTCCAGGAAACAAGACGGGACCGAACTGCCCTATGCTTTTTTTTGTCTAGGTCATCAAGGCAAAAAAGCATAGCGTAAGGCCCTGAGCTTCCAAGCTCTCTCGTTCGAAGCAGCAAAGCAACACACGACGCAACTTGGGTGGGTCAGCATTATCAGAGATAAAAACATAACTCGATTTCCGTGTTTTCTTCTAGTTTTCAAATCATACTGGCTCATTAACCGAGTTCAATTTTCCACACCTGGTGAGCCGTCACAAACGGTATGGCGAAACGTACGTCGAGTGAAACTACTGGTTATGGTAGTTGGGCGTTGAGTTTTCATTTGGCAACATTATGTATAAACAAATAGATGGCGTTTCCATGGGCTCGCCGCTTGGTCCTGTATTGGCTAATATATTTGTAGGATTCTGTGAAGCGTCCATTAGTCCACCATTGTGACCCTCTATGTACTGTCGTTTTGTAGACGATGTGTACTGTCACGATGAGGATGAGGATGTCTGTGGAACTTTCCTATTGACTCTGAATAGCCTCCACCCCGGCGTTGAGATTCACGTCGGAAGCAGAACAAAACGGCAGCTTATCCTTCTTGGATGTACAAATATCACGGAATAAAGCGGTCTAACTACAATTCGAAGCAGCAAAGCAGCACACCACCCAACTTGGGTGGGTCATAAATATCAAAGATAAGTAAAAGTTGGAAGGCTGTCGGTTAGCCCTACGGAGATGTGTTGAAGCTACTTCCTCCGCGTCATCGAAATTGTCGCAAGTTTGACTAGTGACTTGTCATTTGTTACTGACAACTCCATAAGCTAAGCCATTCAAAATTAGACAGTTTGATAGTCTGAAGACTAGAGTAACGTACCAGGACAGTTGGACTGAAAGTTTTCATGCAGAGATGAAGTCCTCGTCGTCGCTGTTGTCAATGGACGCAAAAATATCGTTCCGAAATATTTCAAGGAAGGTTGAAAGTTGGTCGCGCCTCAACCCAAACGCTTTGACTATCTCCACAGGACAAGAGCTGCTATGCTTGTTGTCTACTAGCTCTGGATGATTTCTACTTCACCACCAACGAAGCCTAGTAAGAATACACGATCGCTGCGAGATCGGTTGCTTACCGTCGGCGAAATCACCTCGATCTTGAAATGAACTTTTTTTAGCCGTGGCTTGCCCATATATTTTAGCTGTGTGGTCAGAGCTCATGCAGGTAAGTGTACTATCACGTCCAGCGCGCCCTCTTTTTCAGCATCACTGGTATACCATGGTATGGCACCTGCGCGTGCATCACTAGCACTACGTGTAGAGTCTACACGGCTCTTGCAGGTACAATCATGATGATGTACTGAGTGTCTCAGCCAGAGCGACAAATTGTATCGCTGTTGCAGGCATCTAGTTTGCTGACCCCTCGATGTTTCTCCAAGCGCTGCCACTTGTTCCACAAAGTCATTCTCACTCCAGCAAAGGTAAAACAGTGATGAGGCTTGAGTGAATGGCCATAAGCACGAGAAATGTGCAGTCTGCAACGCCTGACTGATCTCAGCGAGTCGAAATTACCATCGCAGCGACATCAGCGAAGAAATTGCGTCTAGTTCAAAAAGTCCAGCTTCCAATAACAGAAAATAGAACTTTGCCGTCACCCTATACTGATGACTATCGCCTATGTCCGATTCCTTGCCTCTGGTGCGAGTGCTGGTGAGTAAATACCCCGTTTTATATCAAAAGTCAAACTGCGACAATTTCGATGACGCGGAGGAAGTAGGTGTCAGGATGTCGAATGTCTCAGTACTCTTGTCAGTTGTGTGCCTAGTTAATGCACTTTCTGACTGTATATAGTATCCAGTTACAGTGATGGAGAATTACTCTT